CTTTTAGGAATAGAGAAAGTTGAGACTTTTGAGCAATTTAAATTGTATGTGCCAGATTCTGGCTCTAAGGATTTTTTGACTAAAGATGAGCAACTAACCCATTTATGTTCTTTTGTAGAAAGATATTTTTTAGAGTTTTCCTTAGATGATGATTGCCAGTCAGGACGAAGACATTTACAAGAATTATTTGGTAAAATGAAAAGTGATTTGCAACTTTATCAACCTGATTTTTGAAAGTTGATTGAGGAATGTGTTGGTTAATATATTTATTGCGCTTAGGGAAGTTTTTGGAGAGCGGGAGAAGGGGTTGGTCCGTATTCAGGAAAGTGTAAAAGGTATGAAAAAAACTAGGAAAGAAATATACAAAACGATCCTTAGAAAATATAAAAGCCACGGTTTCTTTCAGAAACAGTTAGGTTTATAAAATTATAATATATTTGCCTATGGTCGAAGGGATGGGGGATAGCAAATTAGAATAACTTTAAAAACTGGTCACTCCTAGTTTGCTGTAATTTGGCTTAATTGCTAAGTAGTGATTAGGAAAGTATGGAACTTAACTAAATAACCTTCAATATAACAAAATATATGGTAAATGTAAACATAAATGCCCAGCAATGATTGGACGAAAAATATCCTAAAAATGGAGTATGCGAAAGAAGCGGGGACAAAGAAAACAAAGGCAAAACCAGAAAAGGAATAACTCTATTAGACATTAGAAAAGGTAAAGTTGGTAATGGAATATTCAGCAGAAACAAAAATTTAGTCGAGGACTTAAAACTAGAAGGATTTACTAATTTATGCAAATTAATAATTTCTTCTCATCAATTAATTAGTCTAGATATAAGTGATTGCTCTAATCTAGAAGAATTAGATTGTCATGGCAATGAACTTACTACTTTGAGAGTTGATGGCTGCTCTAACCTTAAAAAAATTGATTGTTCTAATAATCCCCTTAGAGAATTAGATTTGGTTACTTGTCCTAGTCTGGAAGAAGTAAACATAAACAATTGCCTAAAGCTTACTGAAGAAACAATAAAAGCTAATCTTACTTATGACACCGAAAAAGGAAAATTGTCTAAGGGTTCAGCCAAAAACAGCCCACAAATAAGAAAAGCCGAAGATAATGATATTAGAAATATCCTAATAGTTGGTATAACTGGTAATGGCAAATCAGCCTTAGCTAATGCACTAGCCAATACTGATCAGTTTGAAGAAAAAGATTCTAGTGTTGGTGTAACTAAGTATTTTCAAAAAAGTCAACTCTTTCAATGAGAGGGAAAGAAATATCACATTATTGACAATGTTGGATTCGGTGACACCGCTAACACAGCCATAGAAGATATTCTATTTAGAGTGGGGGAAGGCATCTATTCGGCTAAAGAAGGCATTAATCAGGTGCTTTTTGTTTACAAAGGAAGATTTTCTAAAGATCAGGTAGAAGCATTTAAAATGTTTAGAGAGTTTATTGATGAAAGCGGCATCACTAGGTTCACCACCATCATACGAACCAATTTTGTCAACTTTAAAAGCAAAGAAAAGTCCCAAGAAGATGAGGAGTTATTTCTTAGTGAAAGCGAAGAGCTTGCTGAGATAATTAACTCCTGCAATGACATTATTCATGTAAACAACCCAGCAATACCGGTAATCAAGGAAGGAGATGACGAAGAAACAATAGAAGACAAAAAGGAAGAAATGCTTGAAAATAAGAAAAAAAGAGAATGATCAAGAAAAATGGTCCTAACTCATTTAGCCGAGAATTGCCCGGAAATTTACAAACTAAGAGAATGAGATAGTATTCATGCTCAAGTTAGCAAATATATAAAAAATATAGAAGAGAAAGAAAAAAGCCTAGCAAAAGCTACCACTAATTTAGAAAGGGAAAAATTAGCAAGTGAGATAAAAGAAAATAAAGAAAAAGTTGCTGAAGAGGTAA